TACCGCTCCTTCAGATTTTGTTCGTGGCAAAAATCAGCCAAGTAATAAGTGTCACTTCCTTTGTTGCAGCAACTTCGTGGACGTCGGGCCAAGTTCATGATTTTCCCGGCTGGGTTAAGAGGCTGGTGACCCATTCGTCTTGCGACGAACGCAGGTGGCGAGCTATGTCTCACGTCAGGTGGGGAGTGGACCATCAAGGTACATGTGTATGTTGCTTTTCTCCCGCTGATATGTACTCGAGATTTCATTTTCCCATCTCGTTTATGCTAGATTTGTTGTTTTTGTAGATACCGGGCGGTTCCTCGAGGCGAGGCAGCATTTTCCCGGAGAGGAGATAGAGTCGTCGGCCTCCGGGCTAAGAGACGGCAGCAGCAAGAGGGTTCGTGGCCCATCATGCGAAGGAGCTTCTAGTGGCGCTGGCCGAGATCGTGTTTCTGAAGACGGGGCATCACCCGAGTCGGCTGTCCCCGGGGCGCCTGTTTCTCGGCAAGCGGCTCCCTCGAGTGAGCATGTTATGCCCGGGGCCGGTTCTTTCGGGGTTGCATGAGCAGTACCATCAGGGGCGTGTTCTGATCTGGAGGAAATCTGTCATCTTCATTTCGCGGTGAGTTAGTGCATATTTCTTTCATATCCCGCATCTTCCTCTTCTTATTGAATCTTCCCTGCGCAGGCCTGTGATAGGCTTAAGTCCGAGTTGTCTCGTCAAAAGGCCAAGTTCCAGAGGATTCGGGATGAGGGAGAATCCCTTATGTTCCTTTTCAAGGAGAAGGAAGCTGAGCTGCAGCATTGGCGATATGAGGCGTATCGGAGCTCGAACTATGAGAGCTATTTGATGGAGCAGGTAACTTTTTGTAGTGTTTTCTTTGCTTCTTTTTAATTTTAAGGCTTTCTTCTTCTTGCCGTGTTAGCTGCAGAGAAAGACAGAGGCCTTGGAGTACCTTAAAGGTGATGTGCACCGTGTCAGGACAACTTGCGAGGAACTAAGGGGCCAAGTGCGGGCTCAAGCCTTGGAGGAGATGAGTGCCTCAGCCAAGATCCCTGCCTTCAAGGCCCAGCTCAACTTGTCCCGTAGTAACGCCAAGGTTCGGGCGGATATGATCGAGAGACTGGAGTCTGACCTCTCGAAGGTCAGGGCTGAGATAATTGATGCCCGGGCGGAAGCGGCGCTGAGCCGAACCAGCACGGATCGTAAGATGGTGATTTGCATAAAGGAGGCTGCTGACGCTCAATCTGAGTTATGGCAAGCCCTTGATCGTGAGAAGAGGATTGAGGAATATGTTCGCTGCCGATCCCGGAGAGAAGTGTTCGAGGAAGTTGGAGCGAGTGGCTTTATTCTCTCGGAGGAATTGGCTCAAGCAAGGGCGGACGAGCGCGATGCTCGGTCACTCATCGTAGGCGTTGCAGAGGGCGATCTTGAAGGGTTGTATCCCTTTGGCGTAAAATATAGATCCTACCATTTTGTAACTTGGTTTTCGGCTCGCGCAGGGCGTGCCTGTAGGTAGAGAATGTTTTTGTCGTATGTAATGTAAGAAGAATTTTAAAGCATTATTCCTTTTGTACCTTTTTTCTGTTGTTGCTCTTGATTGCGTAGACCGGTTTGTGGAATTGTTCCCTGAGTCGTGCTACGACTCGAACTCTGATTGGCCTTCCGGCTTTTTCCTGCCTGCATGGGCGGAGGGTGATGACCCTCTGTGCTCCTGGACCGAAGCGATTTTGTGGGCGCGCGGCCTGGAGATTTATCGCGACCGTTGATAGCGTCGTCTGGGCCGTGCTTTGAGGCGTATTGTGATTGAATTGCCCTCGGGTTCAGTCTTTGAGTCAGGATCCTGACTCGAGCTTATTTTACCCTCGAGCCTGTTTGGGCCGGTGATAATGACTTTCATTCTCTGTGCTTGGGCGTTTGGCAATTTTTCGGGTCCAGTCTCCGAGTCGCGTTGTGATTCGAACTGTAATTGACCCTTTGATCTTTCCGGAGGTTCCGATTGAAGAAAGCGGCATTGATGCCACGCTTTTAGGGAGTATTATGATTTTTGGGTTCAGTCTCCAAGTCGTGTTGTGACTCGAGCTGTTGTCAACCCTTGAATCTCATTTGAGCTCTCGGCCAGCAACGGTGGCGTTTCCCGTTGCTTGGTCATTGGGACCTTTTAGTATGAGGCTCGGAGGCATGCTTAGCCGGCGACAATGGCACTTACACTGTTTGGTCGTAGAGACCTTTCGATATGAGGCCCGGAGGCTTTGCTTAGTTTAACTATTTTGGATCCGGTCTCCGAATCGGGTTATGATTCAAGCTCACTTTAATCCTCATGTCGTCAATTTCCAAGCTGATGGTCGTAGAGAACTTTTGGTTTCAGGCCCAGAGGCTTTGCTTAGCCGGTGACAATGGCACTTACGCTGTTTGATGTGAGGCCCGGAGGCTTCTAGTAGGCTTTGTTTCCTCTCGTTAAGGTCTTATTGATTGTTTTGCCTGACCCGTCGTCGGTTCTAAAAGAACCTCGATTTCAAGTCATAGTCGGCGATGTTTTGAGCACCTCGGAAGGTTCATAGCCCATAGGTCGAGTAGATCGACACTTTTGCGATTTTGGAGCCGACGTGGTTGGGACTCGTTTTTTTCCTGTTGAGGGAAGCCTGTGTTTAACCGCTTCTTTCCGAAGTAGATTCGGAGGATTTTTTAGCAACAGTCGGGCGTCCCCGAATCGCGTTTTTTGGGCTGTAGCAGCCGTTTCGACCGGAGTCGTGTGCGTTTGGCCGGGGCCATTTTTGATCCCGAGAAGGAGTTTTAGGTGTCTACACCGAGGGTATGCCCTTTAGGGANATTGAGGGTAGTCGGGAAGGGGGGTAACAGATAAAGTTATGAATAAGTAAGGCTCTTATACTATCAATTTCGAGCTAAATGATGGAGAACAAACGAAGAAACTATAAAATGCTAAGGTGACCTCGGGGTCGATGAACACTGATAACTTAGAAGGAAGAAAGAGAGAGAGAGAGAGATATTATTGCATTATGGAGAAGTGGAGCAACATCAACCCCTTACAAGGTGGGGCGAGTCCCCCTTATATAGGCGAGGGGACTCGGTAAAGTACGTATATATTATTTACAAGAGTAGGAAGATGGGACGGCCTGACGCAAGTCCTCTCAGTAGGCTATAGATAGACCGGCCCTGTCAGGTATAGCCATGTGCTTAAGAGACCTTTTCTCTTATCCTGACCCCGGGCCCTGCTTCCTTCGATTCGGACCTCGATGAGCCTTGAGGCCGAGAACTCGATCGTGGCCTTCCACCCTCGGGGTCTCGGGGAAGGCTTCCAAAATTATCTTGATAGCAAAAATCAAGTCTTCTGATTTTACCGCGTACAAACTCTTTCAACTCAGGCGGGGCCGGTGGGATAGAAATGGGCTGAGTGCCCGGAACCAGATCAATGCAAAAGTCAATATCCCTGTCGGGTGGCATACCCGGCAGGTCTGAAGGAAATACCTCAGGAAACTCCCGAACAACGGGCATAGAATCAATAGGAGGGACCTCAGAACTAGAATCGCGAACATAAGCCAAATAGGCCAAACACCCCTTCTCGACCATACGCCGAGCCTTCACATAAGAAATAACACTACGGGTAGAATGATCAGGAGCCCCTCTCCACTCTAAACGAGGCAAACCCGGCAAGGCTAAGGTCACAGTCTTGGCATGACAATCCAAGATAGCGTGGTAAGGTGATAACCAGTCCATCCCCAATATAACATCGAAGTCAACCATGTCTAGAAGCAATAAATCTACACGAGTCTCAAGACCCCCAATCACCACAATACAAGAATGATGGACTCGATCTACCACGATAGAATCACCCAACGGTGTAGACCAGTGTTGTCAAAGGTGCGCTTAAGCGCACAAGCGAGGCTCCAAATCAGTTTGCCGCTTCGCCACACCTCAAGCGAAGCCCAAGTAGTGAAGCGCCCCTTAAGCGCAGTTTCGGGAAAAGCGCAAGGCTCTTGAAGCGTGGGCTCTTTCCAAGATTTTAAAAATATTAAAAATTGGTAACTTTCTTAGAATAGAGAATCAGAATTCTAATTTAAAAAGGAAACTAAATCAAAACCCAACCCAAAAAGATTAGAAATAGGAAGAGGAAAATCAGAATCTTTAAAAAAAAAGGAAGAGAAATCAGAAATCAAAACCCAATCCCCAAAGAAAAGGAAAACCAATGTCTTATAAATAGAGATGCAGTCCACTAGAAAAAACGCAAGAACTGAGAAGAATCTTTATTCAAGTTTTACTGGTACGTTGCTTCTTCTCTTCTTTTTTATGCTTCTTTCTTCTTCTTCCTCCTTCTCTGTCTTTTCCTTTTCTTTTGGCAAATCAAAAAAATCTTAGCTAAATTCAGAGAATCAGAGACTTTGTTTGAAAGATTTGTGCTCTATGTTTCTGTCTCTGACTCTCTGTTTAAGAGATGAAATACACTTTATCTGAATTCTAAAGCATGTAATATTTATTATTCTTTAAATAGATCACTTTTGTTTTAATAGTATTGGCAAAGGTTTTGTAATGATTACATGGCCCACTTGTGCTTTTATCATAATTGAATAATGTAGTGTATATGTCATCTTCTCTTTAAATATTCAACTTAATGACTTAGTGGGAGACAACACATTGGGTATATAAAAAGTTATCAGAGTAATAAGTACTTGACTACTTGCATGGCTATCTACTTTACTGCTTAGTATCATGATTTACATTAAAGTTTCTTTTCTCTTTGCTTTAGAGATATACGAATGGTACATTAAAGAACATTTTAAGGCAACATACATATTTAAAACAAAAGTACAAAGTACAAATTATAAATTGCAATTTACAGAATAGACTGAAACAACTGTTTACTATAGAAAATATAATTACAATTTACAGAATAGATTGAAACAATTGTTTACTATAGAAAATATAATTAGCATATTTCCAAAGTCGATTATGCTATAACAATTAACTTAACTTTATATCTTTGATTTATATTAGAAACAAAATGGCAGAGGATTTATCTCGTGGTAATCGAAAGGATCCCGGTTGGAAATATAATCACTTGATCGATCCTAATGATACCACGAGAGTTACTTGTAATTTTTGCGGGAAAACAACTACAGGTGGAATAAATCGGGCAAAACAACATCTAGTTGGGAATTTCAGAAATACAACAAAGTGTACCAAATGTCCTCATGAAGTTCGAGAAGAATTGAAAGCTTACATGGAGGAAAAGAAAGTAAGGAAAGATATTTATGCTAGAGAGTATCCTGAACATGATGAGTTTGATCATCAAGATGTTGGTGAAGAGGATGAAATTCAGGAAATCATTCCTAAAAGAAAAGGTGGTGGGGGAAGCCTTCCTGGTGGCCTTAATAAGAAATTAGCTAAGGGTAAAGGAAAAGGCCCTATGAATGTATATTTGCAAAGTCAAGGCCAACTTAGGCAGACGGGTATCAAAGATTCATATGACAAAGAAGCAAGAGCAATGGCTATTCAAAAAGTTACTCGTTTCTTTTACGTTGCTGGCATACCATTCAATGTTGCTCGTCTAAAAAGCTTTAAGGAGGCAATTGATGCTATTGGAAGGTATGGACCAAATTTGAAGCCTCCCAGTTATCATGAATTAAGGATTCCATTACTAAATAAGGAGGTAGAGTTGACTAATGAACTTTTAAATCGACATAGAGAAGAATGGGTAAAGCATGGATGTTCCATTATGGCAGATGAATGGACTGATAGGAAGCAAAGAACATTAATAAACTTTTTGGTGAATTCTCCATGTGGTACAGTGTTTATGGAGTCCATTGATGCATCTTCATTTGTCAAAACTGGAGAGAAACTATGTGAGCTACTTGATAGATATGTGGAGCGTGTTGGAGAGCAAAACGTAGTTCAAGTTGTAAGTGATAATGGCAGCAACTTTATATTGGCCGGTAAGTATTTACTTTAAGAATGCTCAAGTTTTGATCTCTCATATATTATAGTATATAATATATTTAAGTATTTTCTTTTTATTTTAGGCCAACTCCTACAAACAAAGAGAAAACACATATACTGGACGCCTTGTGCCGCTCATTGTATAGATCTTATTTTAGAAGACATAGGCAAGCTTCCAACTATTACGAGAACCCTCAAAAGAGCAATTGCAGTTGTTGGTTTCATCTATGGTCATACAGGAGTCATTAATATGATGAGAGACTTCACAAAGAAAAAAGAATTGGTGAAATGTGGAATTACTCGATTTGCTACGAGTTTTCTAACTTTGCAGAGGTTGTATAATCAAAAGACTAATTTGCGAACCATGATTACATCTGAGCGTTGGGTGAATAGTAAATGGTCAAAAAAACCACAGGGAAAAGTTACAACTCATACTATATTGATGCCTGCATTTTGGAATCAAGTTGTTTATATACTGAAGATAATAGGACCTCTTTTTAAAGTCTTAAGATTAGTTGACAATGAGAAAAAGCCGGCTATGGGATATACTTATGAAGCTATGGATAGAGCTAAAGAAGCCATCGCAAAATCATTTGAAGGGAAGTCTGCGAAGTACAAAGATGTTTTTGAGATCATTGATCAAAGATGGGAATGCCAATTGCATCAACCATTACATGCCGCTGGACATTATTTGAATCCCGAGTATTTCTATCAAGATCCAGCCATTGAGAATTGTAGAGAAGTAACGAATGGACTATATGCTTGTATTCAGAAACTGGTTCCAAGTATTGAAGTTCAAGATAAGATTGTATCTGAGTTACCATTATATACAAGAGCTGAGGGACAATTTGGACTTCCCATGGCAAAAAGATCAAGAGCAACGAGATCTCCAGGTATATGAAAATTCAATGTTTACAATTAACACTTCAAGGCTTCACGTTCAATATTTACTTACCACTAAGTTATATCTTTTTCAGCTGAATGGTGGAATCTATATGGAAATTCAGCCCCTCATCTCCAAAAATTAGCCATTAGAATCTTGAGCTTAACCGCTAGCTCAGCTGGTTGCGAGCGTAATTGGAGTGTGTTTGAACATGTGAGTTTTTATTAGACATTAGTTACATATAACTATTCGCTATTTTAATTTATTTGGTTAATTAATACAAACTTACAATTTTACTAACAATCAGATAAAATAATTCATGTGCAGATCCATAGCAAGAAGAGGAATAGATTAGAGCATAAACGATTGAATGATCTAGTGTATGTCAAGTATAATCGTGCTCTAAGAACTCGCTTTGACTTGCGGAATATCATTGATCCAATCTCATTGGATCATATTGATCATAGTAATGAGTGGTTGGTTGGAGAAATGGGGGTAAATTTTGAAGCGGAAAATGAATTGGTGTTTGGGGGAGATGATGACTTAACTTGGGGCGATGTGGCTAGAGCACCAGGAAGTGAAGATGCACAAACATACTCATACTCAATGAGACAAAGGAGACCATCAAAAACTTTGGCAACCGGTTCTTCAAGCTCTCAAGTTCGACGTATTAATATAGATATAGATGATGTTGAGTCTGAGGAATCAGAGGAAGAAGATATTGAAGGCTATAATTCTAGCGATACCAATGAGAGTAATCCTATTGAAGAAGAAGATGACAATTTAGATGCATATGATAATGCTAGTGATTAGACTTTAGAAGTAGAATAGTTGGTTTTGTTTAGTTGATAGTTTATCATATTTTTCACCATAATTTTGCTACATTGATAAAAATAATATTACATTGCTCTAATTTTGAATATATTTGTCACTTATGTTTTTATTACGTGATCTCTAAATATATTTTACACTATTTGTTATATTGCGCTTTTTTGCACTAAAGCCCGCGCTTTGAGTGCGCTTTGCGCTTTAAGCCCCAAAGGCCCTTGTCGCTTTTTTGCGCTTTTAGCCTTTGACAACACTGGTGTAGACACATATACAGGGACACTCAGAGAATCACTAGGCATAACAAGATACGGTGCAAAATAAGATGACACATACGAGTATGTAGACCCTGGATCAAATAACACTGAAGCATCTCTATCACAAACCAGAACAGTACATGTGATAACCGCATCTGAAGCCTCGGCCTGGGGCCTGGCTGGAAGAGCATAACATCGGGGCTGGGCCCCACCACCCTGGACTACCTCTCTGGGACGGCCCGCAGCTAGCTGGCCTCCACCTCTGGCGGTCTAAGCTCCACCTCTAAATCCTCTGCCTCCACCTCTAGCACTTCTACCCCCGCCCCTAGCTGGCTATGCGGCCTGTGGAACATCTGGTGCCTGAATCATAGCACGGGAACCCTGCTTCTGCGACTGAGTACCCACCAACCTCGGACAAGCCCTACGGATATGACCATACTAACCACACTCATAACATCCACCAGAATGCTGCGGCTGAGGAAACTGAGACTGACCCTGGCGACCTGAATGACCTCCCCGAAAACTCTGGATCGGTGGTGCACTGTAGGGCTGCTGATCAGAATATTGCATGCGAGAACCACGGCCACCTGAAGCACCGTGGGAAACCTGAAGGGCTGACTGAAAGGGCCTAGGAGGATGGCCTCTACCATATAAATCTCTACCTCCAGAGGAGGTACCGCTGAATCTCCCTGAATGACGGGGCCTCTTATCCGCTCCATGACCACCCCCCTGTGAGAGTACCATCTAACCTTTCCGGGCCATATTAGCCGCCTCTTGGAAGGATATCTCACTCCCAGCCTCTCTAGCCATCTAGACACGAATTGGCTGAATGAGTCCATCAATAAACCGTCTCACTCTCTCCCTCTCAGTGGGAAGTATAATAAGGGCATGGCGAGCCAAATCTATGAATCTGGTCTCGTACTGGGTGACAGTCATGGATCCCTGCTGAAGGCGCTCGAACTGCCTCCGATAGGCCTCTTGCTCTGTAATAGGGAGAAACTTCTCCAGAAATAGCTGTGTGAACTGCTCCCAGGTCAAGGCTGGCGATCCTGCTGGTCTAGCTAAGCAATAATCCCTCTACCAAGTCTTGGCGGATCCAGACAAGCGAAATGTAGCAAAATCAACCCCATTGGTCTCAACAATACCTATGTTCCGAAGAACCTCGTGACAGTTATCCAGATAATCCTGGGGATCCTCAGTAGATCACCGCTGAAGGTAGTAGTAAAGAGCTTGGTAAACCTGTCCAACCTCCACAAAGCATCGGCATACATGGCTGCACCATCACCGGTCTGAGCTACCACACCCGGCTAAACCGCTCCAACTGGATGAGCTGCTGGAGTCTGAAACTGGGGAGCTACCTGCTCCGGAGTGCGAGTAGCAGGAGTCTGGGCTCCTCCTCCAGCCTGAGAGACGGCTGGTGCTACAGGGAGCAAACCTGCCCTGGTGACACTCTCCATAAGGCCCACTAGACGGACCAGAGCATTCTGAAGAACTGGGGTAGCAATAAACCCCTCTGGGACCTGAGCTGGTCCCACTGGAACTGCTGGGGCTGGAACCTCGTCATCAAAATCAACCTGAGGCTCTGCTACGGGTGCTGCTGCCCTGGGTTGAGCTCTGCCCCTGCCTCGCCCTCGCCCTCTGCCCCTAGTGGGAGCAGCTGCTGGGGGCTCGGGCTGCTGATCGGTAGATGAGGAAGCGCGTGTTCTCGCCATCTGCGAAAGAACAGAGTAGAATTTTAATTAGCATTGAGAAACCAAACCGCACGATAAGAAAGAACAAATGTGAAGTTTTCCTAACTCTGTAGCCTCTGGGGGATAAATACAAACGTCTCCGTACCGATCCCTATTGATACCCAATTTTTCCCTGTATATTTTTATATGCAAAATACTTTCAAATACTATATATATGCATATATAAGTATGCCCAAGTGTTTTAGTATTTTTCCCAGATTTTTAAATCAAGTTATTGTCCATTTTAACAGTACCAAAAATTAATAGTATTCCCAAAATTTAGCATTTTCGGTGAATAATTTATTTTATTCCCACATTTATGCTAAAATATAGCTAAGGTAATTTTTATTCATTTTTTACAATTTATTTAGTATTTTAAAAGTCAAACTGCATATAATTGCAATTTTAGCCTATTTTGAAAATTAATAACATTTTATAATTATGAATTTGGTTCTAGTATTTTTAAATTAATATTTATATATTATTTACTGATTCAGTACTTTTAATTTAATTGCAGAATTATTTTTACTATTTTTTATAAGATAACACGAAAAACTGGCTATTTAATATGTAGCCCCAATTTATTTCAATTATAGCCAAATTGACCCCTCCAATTGACCCCAATCCTAAACTCCCAATTAGACCGGCCCAATCTCAATTGTAACCCGACCCCCCGACCCAACCAATTAACCCGCCTGACCTTTTTTTTTAATCCAGGCCGTTGATCTTTTTGATCAACGGCCACAATTAGCCCTTACCTTTTTAATTCCACCAAATAACCCTACTCATTTTCACTTAGAGACGCCGCCCTGAAACCTCTTCATCTCTCAAACTCTCTCGAATGTTCTTGATACCCTAGTCATCTTCTACCCTTTTCAACCGCACTTTCACCGGAATCCATGGCTTCTCAGGCCATGGATGGCCTGTACTCACCACCCTCCACCTTTAAACCCTGGGTGTTCGAAGTTTCGAGGTCTGACCTCGATGGTGTTCTTTCAAATCTTCTCAGATCCATGGCTTTGAGGCCTCTCCGGCCTCGCTCCGGCGTATCCAAGCATCAGGAGCCTATTTCTGACCTCTCCGACTCAAGATCAGACTTTCTTCCAAGCCTTTCTCATTCTAGGGTTTCTCTGAAACCCTAAGCTATTCGAGGTTCTCTGGTTGTTTTCTTAGATCTATGCTATATCTGTGTTCTACGGGAGTTTTAAAACGTTTTTCCCAATCTTTTCTTTCAAAGTTTGTTTCTCTTCGATTTAGGGTTTCTGAAAAAGTTTTAAAATATTTTCTGACTCCTCTTCTTATTTTCTTTGTGTTAATCTGTCTATGCTATGTTTTTATGTTCTCTTTTCTACCTCGCATGTACTTCTCCTGTGTTCTTATGTTTGCCCTATTATGCATATTCTTCTATTGTGCTCCGTTCTTTCTTCTACTGGTCTCTATATCATGCTTTTACACGTTTATCTTATGTGTTCGTTTACCCCTGTGTTCATTTACTGTATTTTCTACTAAGCTCTTAGTTCTTTATTTGCCTTCTTCTGGACTTTGTTTGAATTCTTTTTAAACATGTTTCATCTACTGTTTCCTTAAGTTTATACTACCTCTTTGTCTTCTGAACTTGTTTAAGTTCCAAGCTTTTCTTAAAACATGTTCTTTATGCTTCAAATCTGCTTTTTCACTATGTTTGTTTCGAACCTGCTATTTTACCTGTTTGTTTTCTCATGAGTCTCTGAAAGAGACCTCTGAGCCTGTTTCAGTTATTTGTCTTCTCGTCTCTGCATCTGATTCGAGTTGAAAACCCTAGGATTTGGGGTTTTTGGCGAGTTTGATCTTGTGTGTGGACTAGGGTTCTATTATGGAGCCCTGGATTCTCTCAAACCAAGTCTGAGTCTATGTACTGAATTTGAGCCTCTTTATTTGTGACTCTGAACTTTTCTATACTAGATTCTTTCTAATTAGCATGACAGTTCTTTCTTGTTTGACATGTCTGTATGCTTTATATATGAGGAATTCTTCCTTCAAAAAAGGTTTTTCTAATTTGTGATTGATTCAAAATTCCTTTTAATAAGGTTCGATTGATTGTTACTGATTTTCTTTAATTAAGCCTTTCTTCACCTTTTCTGGTTAGATTCATTCATACCAAAACTCAATTTCGGATTTTTACTGGCTGTTGATTGATTGCCTTTCCTTATTTGCACAAACTGTGTTGCTATCAAACTCTTTCCTTAAACAGTTTCTGTGTATTTGCCCTTCTTGTACTACTTTGGAAAAGATTTTGATCAAATTCTTTCCTTATTTATTCTGCCCGTTTGAAATTAGAATCCCTTAATTAAAGAGAGACCTTATGTAATTGGTTTCAAAACTATTTTCTTACCTTTTCTTACTTGCTTTCTGCACTATAAAGGGCACGACCTTTCAGCACTTTAAGACACCTTGAGTTCAATACTCTAACACACATTACTTACTTTCAATACTTTTACACTTCACTCAACACTCTACTCTCTTCTGAGATATTCTGACTATTTGCATGCAATTTGGCTTTACAAGACTACTACTTTTACTTTTTTGTTTTCCCGAAACTGGTATGTTCTAATTTAAGTTTCAGCCTCATCCCAATGTGTTTATTTCACAGCTTCTATCATCCTATCTACTTTGCTGTCTATGCTTAGTGATAAATATGTATGTTGTTCTCTTCGCATATGTTTTCTGCTGTGAATCCCCATACCCCTATTCCCCTCTATGTATTTGAGTTAAGGTTCAGGCATGGCAGCATCCAAATTGTTGTTCATGTCTGTGCTTGATCCTTTAAAGGATCCTAACTCCCAAATAATGTGGCTAACAGGCTGGTTGGGGTGTGCCAGCACTTCCAATTGCTGGGTATGACCACCAACCTGTCTTGGCTTTCCCCTAAATCCCTTTCTGCACTTACACTCACTCTTAGGTTCTATGTTCTTCCCCCCTCCTATGAGCCTTTCCTTGGGACCTTGAGTTCCCTCTGAACTTG